GATTTCTATGCTAAGTTCATTGTTTAAATGGTTATTTTGGCGATTTGATCGCACGGATAAGTTCATATGATATTTTTGAGTTAGTACTTATGATTGGTTTGGAGCCCCGAGGGATCGGGTGAGTTTTGGGTAGATCCCGGGGTGTTTAAACTTAAGAAAACACTGCTGTTGCATCAGTTCTGGTGTAACCGCACCTGCGAGTCAAGCACCGCATGTGCGAGCTCGTAGGGCGCACAGTGGGTCGCAGGTGTGGTCCAGTCACGCAGATGCGGACAATTTTCTGCAGATGCGGTTCCGCAGGAGCGGGTCCTTTTCTCACAGATACGACCCTAGAGGGGCGTAGTCATTTCCGCAGAAGCGATCTGTTTTCCGCACGTGCGGTCTCGCAGGTGCGACCCTGGCCCCACAAGTGCGGAAGTCGGGCAGTGAGTCTTTTAAAACATAACTTCAGCGATTTTTCTTTCAAACTTTCACAAAAATAAAAGACCTAGGGCGATTTCCCAAGAGATTTTCTTCCCAAATCACAAGTAAGTGTTCATTAACTGATTTCTTTCAACTCCCTAATATTTTTCATCAACTTTTATCAATAATCCTAGGGTTTTAATGGTAGAAAATTGAGGATTAGGGTAAATATAGGGCTTTTTGATTAATTGGGATTTAGACCTCGTTTTGGGGTCGGATTTCGAAACTTATTGCATATTTGGGCTCGTGGGTGAACGGGTTTTGGTCCGAACCTCGTGTTTCGACCAAGCGGGCCCGGGGTCAATTTTTGACTTTTTGGGGAAGGTGATGGAAAACCTATAATTTGGCCTTGGGATTGGATTATTTAGCCTTTATTGATGTTGTTATGTTAATTTGAATTAGATACAAGTTATTCGGAGGCGGATTCTTAAGGAAAAGCGGTTTTTGAGGCTTGAGTTAGCCGTGGAAGTTTGAGGTAAGTGTTTGGTCTAACCTTAGCTCGAGGGATTAGGAGTTGTGTCCTATTTGCTACGTGTTACTTACCGCGTACGACGTATAGGCTTGGTGACGAGTATCTATACGTCGGTGTCGAGCATGACCGTGAGTCTTAAATTGAAATTATTGTGTTCTTGAGAAAGTACTACGAATGCCTAAGTTGTTGATTCTCTGTGTTGAGCAAGGTTTATGATTATTCTCGTGGAGATTACTTATGATTGAGTATTGGTGGTAGTTTAGGTAGTTAGATGTTGGAACAAGTTTGGTTATAGCTGATTTCCCTTGCCGGGATGTATTTATTTATACTGTTGATTCCTTGCCAGGACAGTGTTGTTTCCTTATTGGTCCCTTCCCGGGGCCCTTATATATATATATATATATATATATATATATATATATATATATATATATATATATATATATAAGTGTGTATGTGTGGATCGAGTTGCACGCCGCAATAATATCTTATTTGGATCGGGTTGCACGCCGCAACAATGATAAAAATGGGTCGGGTTGCACGCCGCAACAACTATATAATTGGATCGGGTTGCACACCGCAACAGTGATAAATGATATGGATCGGGTTGCACGCTGCAACAGTGATATTATGTTTTGGGATCGGGTTGCGCGCCGTAACAATTGATAATATAAAGTGCTTATAGATCGGTTGCGATTTCCTTATTGTTTTGGCTATAAATTCTAAGTTGTCCTTATGCCTATCTCTTAAATTACTGTTGGTATTAATATTCCCCCGCAACATGTACCCCCCCCCCCATATCTACACTTTTTTATTCTTGTTTAATTTTTGTTGCATAGTATATATATATATATAACTGCACAGGTTTGTTTGGTAGTCTGGTCCTAGCCTCGTCACTACTTCACCGGGGTTAGGCCAGGCACTTACCAGCACATGGGGTCGGTTGTGCTGATACTACATTTTGCACTATGTGCAGATCCTGGAGCGACAACTTTTGGACCATAGCTTTGGGAGGCAGCCTTCAGTCCAGTCAGAGATCCCGAGGTAGTCCTGCAGACGTCCGCAGGCCCGGTGTTCTCTTCTATCTTTATATGTATTCTATTTTCATCTACTTCTGAGACAGACAGTACTTCTCTTTCTGACATTTGTATGTAGTATTTGTAGACAGTCCGTGATATTGTGACACCGGATTCCAGGTAGAGATGTACGTTGGCATAGTCGTACTGGTTATGGTTTAATTTATCAGATTATGTCTTCCGTTCGTTTATATTTATCAGTAATGCTTCACTGTTGATTTCCATGTTAGTTAAATAGTTAAAAGGGCTAATAAATGAGTTAATAATTCTGCAATACGTGGCTTGTCTATCTTCCACGAGTAGGCGCCATCACGACTCCCGAGGTTGGGAAATCCAGGTCGTGACAAGTTGGTATCAGAGCTCTAGATTACATAGGTCTCACAATTCACGGACAAGCATAGTAGAGTCTGAGGGATCGGTACGGAGACGTCTGTATTTATCCCCAAAGGCTACAGAGTTAGGAAAAGTTTCACATTTATTCTTTCCTGTCGTGCGGTTTGGTTTCTCAATGCTAATTGAATTTCTACTCTATTATTTTGCATATGCCGAGAAAATACGCTTCCTCATCCGCTGATCAGCTGCCCGAGCCCCTAGCAGCAGCTCCCACGAGGGGCAGAGGGCGAGGTCGAGGCCGTGCTAGAGGCCGAGGTAGGGGCAGAGCTCAGCCCGGAGCAGCAGCACCAGCGGTGGAGCCTCAGGTTGACTTTGATGATGAGGTTCTGGCCCAGACAGTTCCGGTGGGCCCAACTCAGGTCCCAGAGGGGTTCATTGCTATCCTAGTACTCCAGGATGCTCTGGTCCGTCTAGTGGGCCTTATGAAGAGTGTCACCCAGGCAGGCTTGCTTCCTGTAGCACCAGCCGTCTCTCAGGCCGGAGGAGGAGCCCAGACTCCTACTACTCGCACTCTGGAGCAGGCTCCCCAGTTTCAGATTCCAGCAGTTCAGCCAATTGGAGCAGTCCAGCCAAGTGTGGTAGCTCAGACCGGTGATGGAGCAGCTATGTCTACCGATGCCTTGTGGAGATTGGACAGGTTCACCAAGCTCTTCACTACCACTTTCAGCGGCGCATCTTCTGAGGATCCCAGGATTATCTGGACAGCTGTCATGAGGTTCTCAGGAACATGGGGATAGTTGAGACCAACGGGGTCGACTTTGCTACTTTTCGCTTATCTGGATCCACCAAGACTTGGTGGAGAGATTATTGTTTGGCTAGACTAGCCGGATCGCCAGCTTTGACTACGGAGCAGTTTACTCAGCTATTCTTGGAGAAGTTTCTTCCCGTTACTCAGAGGGAGATTTATCGGAGGCAGTTTGAGCGTCGCCAGCAGGGTTCCATGACTGTTACCCAGTATGAGACCAGGTTTATTGATTTGGCCCGCTATGCTCTACTTATACTCCCCACGGAGAGAGAGAGAGAGAGAGTGAGGAGGTTCATTGGGGGACTTATCCAGCCTATTTGACTTCAGATGGCTAAGGAGACGGGGAGTGAGATTTCTTTCCAGGAGGTGGCCAATGTGGCCAGGAGGGTCGAGATGGTTTTTTCACAGGGAGGTGGTCAGGGGTCTGACAAGATGATAGCATTCATGGCAGCTCAACATCATTAAAGGAGAAGGATGAAGCTCTGGAAGCTCCAAGAAGGCCCATGACAAGGTCTCAAACAAAGAAATTTCAAGACAAGCTTAATGGGCTTCAATTGGCAATTAAAAAGTGTCTTATAATAGAAGAAGAGCTCCAGCACAAGGAGGATCTTTGGGACAAGTCTTACAACTATTTTGAGGCCCAAATTAAAGTCCAAGAGGAGATGGAATGAGGCCCAAATATGCCCCAAAAGAGAGGAATTTTCAGCAGCCCAAATAAGCCCAAAAATAGTTTCTAGAAAATATATTTAATAGTTGTTTTAATCTATGTTGACTTGCATTGGTCTATGTGTATGTTGAATACATTGGTCTTAGTGTGGGTAGTCTTCTATGCTTCTAGGGAATATAATTCTCATTTATTGAAGTTTTGACTAGCTCCTTCTTTACTACTATATAAAGGGGGGCTTGTCTTCCATTGTAGGGGACATTGAAGATTAATATTATTATTGTGAGTTCTTTTGAACCTTTGTGAACTTTACTTTGAAGATTTATCTTGCAACCCTAACTAGTTCATAGCTTAAGGTAGTAAGATAATTTTCTTTCTTGTGATATCTTTGGTTTCTTTTGATATTCTTCGAAGGCGACTAGTTTCTTTTACTAGTTGTTGTCGTAAGTTATTCAAACTAGAAGTCAAGATCCGAATCTAGTTCTTGATTAGCTTATCTCTAGTGAAGGCAATTGGTTTCATAACCAACTTGTTGTCATTAGGATCTTGTCAAAATCTAGATTAACATAATCTCGGGGTTCTTGGACCTTTCCTTGAATTTCGACATATCTAGTTTATTTTTCTTGCTCCGCTTGCATTTCTTTGCTACTTCCGCATTTCATCAACTTATTTTCTTCAAGTTCTTGGATCTCCCAACCTTTGTGTTATCAAGTGGTATCAGAGCGGTTGTATCAAGATTCCGTTCTTGATAAATCTTGGGGATTTCTTGAACAAAGGAGCAAAAAAAAAAGATTAAAAAAACAAAAAAAAAAGAAAAAAAAAAGGAGAAACATATTTGCTCTTCAAGAAATCAGATTTTTATTTGTGTTTGTTTCCAAAATCAAGGAAGGAAACAAGAAGAGGGGATCCTAATACTTTGATCTTGTTCAAAAAAAAAAATCCTTTTCTTTGTTCGAGGTTTGTTTCAACTAAATCCTACTCTTTCTAGGATTGGTTCTTCACTTTCTTTAGTGCCCCAAATTTCGTTATTTTACTACTAAGGGCTTTGATACGAGTTGGGTTTAATTATAAATCTACAAGGTATTTTTCAAAGGTTAATTGAGGGGAAAAAGGCAAGAGTGGGTGAGAACAATAGAGGGAAAGAGCCAAAGTTTGAGTGATAACTATTATTATTATTATTTTAAAAAGATGTCTCATACAGGTGCTAGTGATGATGAACAGAGGGCTCTCCAAGAAGCCGAAATCCGAGCAAGAAATGATTTCACTCTACAAGCTATGCATCAACAATTCAAGAGATGGAACTTGCAATTCCAAGAGATAAGGGATACTATTGCCGAACAAAATGAGACAATAGCTGCACTTAGGAGGGGAAATCAACCTGATGTACAACCTCGAAATAATCCTAGGCCTCTTAATAGAAGAAATGTACCCCATGCCCTCATTGTAAATCAAGAAAACCCTATAGATGATTTTGTTGATGATTTTGATGTAAATCTAGATAGGGTGGGAAGAGATAGGAGGGGACAACGAGGTAGAGTAGAAGATGATAATATTAGCAGCATAAAAATGAAGATGCCATCTTTCAAGGGCACAAGAGAACCAGACTTGTACCTTGACTGGGAGCGGAAAGTTGAGGCCATCTTTGACTGTCACCACTACTCTGAAGGTAAGAAGGTTAAGCTTGCTGTTGTTGAATTTTCTGATTATGCTTCTATTTGGTGGAAAAAGCTTACAAGAGACAGACAACAAGACGGAGAACCACCCATTGCTACTTGGACCGAGATGAAGAGAATCATGAGGAAGAGGTTTGTGCCTTCCCACTTTCAAAGAGACCTACAACTGCGTCTTCAAACCTTGAAGCAAGGAACCATGACTGTTGATGAATACTTTAAAGCTATGGATATGGCTATGATCCAAGCTAATTGTATGGAAGAAGAAGAGGCCACTATGGCTAGATTTCTTAATGATTTAAATAGAGAAATAGCTGATGTAGTAGAGATACAACAATATGTAACTATAGATGAATTAGTAGATTTGGCTGTAAAAATAGAAAAGCAAAATAAAAGAAGGCAGCAAGCTAGCTCATGGAGAAGTCGGCCAAACACCAATTCCAAGAAGACATGGCCAAAACAAGAAGTGCTTTCTAGACCTCAAGAAGACAAGGGGAAAGGTAAAGTTGATGAGAAAGAGGGAAATAAAGCTTTCAATTCTAGATCCTCTAAACCTTCTAGTTCCATTCAATGTCATAAATGTCATGGAAGAGGCCATATGATGCATGAATGTCCAAATAGAAGAAATATTCTGTTGAGAGAAGATGGAGGATATGAGAGTGAAAAAAGTGAGGAAGAAGAGAGAGGAGTAAGTGAAGATGATGTAGAACTTCCTAATGATGGTTTGGTTGGGGTAATTAGGAGGACTATAGATGGAGAATATGAGGGAGAAAAAAGTGAGGAAGAGGAAGAAGAGGAAGGTGTGAGTGAAGATGATGTAGAGTTACCTTTCAATGATGGTTTGGTTGGGGTAGTTAGGAGGATTATGACTATTAATTTAGGAATCAGTAGTAAAGAACAAAGAGAAAATATATTTCATACTAGGTGTGGAATAAAGGGGAAAACTTGTTCTATGATTATTGATAGTGGTAGTTGTGCTAATGTGGTGAGTTCACACTTGGTGAACATGTTAGAACTTGCATGCATGAAACACCCTAAGCCCTATAGACTCCAATGGTTGAATGATAGTGGTGAACTGAAAGTCAACAAACAATGCATGATTTCCTTCAATGTTGGTAGGTATGTGGATGATGTTCTTTGTGATGTGGTTCCTATGCAAGCTTGTCACATCTTGTTAGGTCGTCCGTGGCAATATGATAGGAATGTTTTTCATGATGGAAGAAAGAATAGATATTCTCTTGAGCTTAATGGCAAGAAGTATACTCTTGCACCTTTAAGTCCTTCTCAAGTGTTTGAGGATCAAAAGAGATTGAGAGAAATAATGGGAAAACAAAGGGGAGGAAAAAAAATGAGCTTGAGGGAAAAGAAAAGAAAGAAGGCCAAGAGGTAGAAAAAAAGAGAGATGGCCTAGAGAGAGAGAGAGAGGGCAGCAACTTGGGCAAAGTGGTAAAAGAGGGTTTGAGTGATAAAAAGGAAAGTTTTGGTGAGCGGAAAGAGGCAGAGAAAAAGAAAAAGGAGAGTTTGTACATAAAAGCCAAAGAGTGTTTGAATGCAAGGAAAGAGGGGTTGCCCATTATACTACTTACTTACAAAGAAGTTTTGATTAATTCTGAATCACTAACTTCTTCTTTGCCAAGTAGTGTTTCTTCTCTTTTGCAGGATTTTGATGATATCTTCCCTGAGGATATCCCTAAAGGTCTACCACCTTTGCGTGGCATTGAGCACCAAATTGACTTTGTGCCTGGAGCACAAATTCCAAATAGGCCTGCTTATAGGAGTAATCCAGAAGAGACAAAAGAGCTTCAAAGGCAAGTTGAGGAGTTGCTTGAGAAAGGTTTTGTGAGAGAAAGCATGAGCCCTTGCTCCGTTCCCGTCCTATTGGTACCCAAAAAGGATGGAACTTGGAGGATGTGCGTCGATTGTAGAGCAATCAACAAGATAACGGTAAAGTATCGCCATCCTATTCCTCGTCTTGATGACATGTTGGATCAATTGCATGGATCCAAAATCTTTTCTAAAATTGATCTAAAAAGTGGTTACCATCAGATTCGAATGAATCCTGGAGATGAATGGAAAACTGCTTTTAAGACCAAATATGGGCTTTATGAGTGGTTAGTTATGCCTTTTGGCTTGACTAATGCACCCAACACTTTCATGAGATTGATGAATCATATTTTTAAGGATTTTCATGGGAAATTTGTGGTAGTTTATTTTGATGATATCTTGATTTATTCTAACAATCTAGATGAGCATGTGGAACACTTAAAACAAGTTTTTGAAGTTATCAGAAAGCAACACTTGTTTGCTAATCTTAAAAAGTGTACTTTTTGTGTGGATCGTGTTGTATTCTTGGGTTTTGTGGTTAGTTCTAAGGGAGTTGAAGTTGATGAAGAGAAAATCAAGGCAATCAAAGAGTGGCCTAAACCTAACAGTGTAACCGAAATTAGGAGTTTTCACGGGCTTGCTAGTTTTTATAGGAGATTCGTTAGAGACTTTAGCACCATTGCTGCTCCTTTAACTGAAGTTGTTAAGAAAGATAAGGTTTTTTCATGGGGAAAAGAACAAGATAATGCTTTTAACTTGTTGAAAGAAAAATTGTGTTCTGCTCCTCTTTTGCAATTACCTGATTTTTCTAAATCTTTTGAGTTGAATGTGATGCCTCTGGAAAAGGAATAGGTGCTGTTTTGATGCAAAACTCGAAGCCCATTGCATACTTTAGTGAAAAGCTGAGTGGAACTACACTGAACTACTCAACTTATGACAAAGAGCTATATGCTTTGGTAAGGGCTTTAGCTACATGGCAACATTATTTGTGGCCAAGAGAGTTTGTGGTTATGACTGATCATTAATCCTTGAGATATTTGAAAAGCCAAGGTAAGTGTGACGACCCGACCCGTCGTCACGTGAGTTACCGCCCCGTTTTCCCCATGTTATGCTTCTTTAAGTTTCATTATCAGTATTTGATGTGTTAGAGTTGGTTTGGAATGGTTTTGATAAGAAATGAGACACTTAGTCTCTTTTAAGAAAGTTTAAGTTGGAAAAGTCAAACCGGATGTTGACTTTTGTGTTAGAGGGATCGGATTTGAATTCCGATGATTTGGTTATTCGGGGGATGATTTGTGACTTAGGAGTGCGATCGGAATTGATTTTGGAGGTTCGGTGTAGAATTAGGCTTGAATTGGCGGAGTTAGTATTTTTGGCGAATTCCGGTTGGTAGGTGAGATTTTGATCCGGGGGTCGGAATGAGATTCTGAGAGTTGCAGTAGGTTCGTTAGGTGATTTTGGATATGTGTGCAAAATTTCAGGTCATTCGGAGATGTTTTGGTTGGGTTTCTGATCGAATGCGTGTTTCGGAAGTTTTAGAAGAACTTAGGCTTGAATTCGATGAAAAATGATGGTTTTAGTGTTGTTTGAGGTGTTTTAATGATTGGAGCAAGTTTGAATAAGGTATTGGATCATGCTTGTATTTTTGGTTGAGGTCCCGAGGGCCTCGGGGTGATTTCGGATGGCTAGGTTTTTAATATTTTGTTCTTTATGTTTTGTGATCTCAACAACTTAAGTGCAAAGAACCAGCGATAGGGACTGCCACTTGGATTACACTGTCATTAACGGAATTTTCCAGCCAAATATGTTGAACGCTAACAGCATTAGGGAAAGCTTCAGAAAGGTAGGCACCCAAACAAGACCTAATACTCTTGTGGGTTTCTCACGGTAGTACAAAGTCAATTGACACAGCGGAAAACAAAGTTATTCTGCCGACTGGCATTTTATCCCTGTTGCCAACTTCATCTCTCTGAATCAGACCAAAGTAACGATTCCAAGTTACTCATACTCAAGACCAATCTGGGCAGTGTGCAAAGTACACATGGAAGGAACACTGTCGCCTCTGTGTGCTGCCCGCATGAATAGAAATTCTTCAAGTACAACTATCAGACAAGTGGACACAACCTGCAGAAAGAGACTGTCCGCAATGAC